CCTTTGACCTTTCTCTTCTCTATTCTTTTCCTTTTCTTGGAACTCTCCCCTGCCTCGAATTGCCTCAAGGGGGCTTCATCCTCCACCATGGCTTTCCCTTTTCCTTTCGGGCTGGTTAGCGATAAAGCGGGCGTGGGCCTGGGCCTAAACACCTTTAATCTAGCGCCCGCCACTGGGTCCTTCCACTTAGATCCATCCAATTCTGCTATCATATATGCACCCCAGTCGAGTGCCTCAACCACTCTGTAAGGTCCCATCCATCGGCTGGCGAGTTTTCCGGTCCAGGTTCTTTCCAGCACTGCATCGTAAAGAAGGACCATATCTCCTACGTTCACCCTCTCTTTCCTAATTCGCACTTTCTTATCCCATCTCTCTTTACCCTTGTCCCTTTCTACTACCAGACGATCTGCCGCTGTCATGTGGTCATCTTCCAAACCGTAGGCTATCTGCCTCGTTTGTGCAGCTAAGAGTTCCTCTCTGGACATCTCCTCCGCCCAGTCGACGGTTGTCCAGCTGTCGACGTGAAACTCTATGGGAAGCGGACAATGTCGCCCAAACCACAACGTGTACGGGGGGTATCCGGTACTAGCCCGGACCGTAACGTTGTCCGCCCATATTGCGTATCGAAAATATCGTGGCCAATCACTGTCCTTACCCTTGCACCACTTGGACAGTGACGCTATCAGAGTCTGGTGTCCCCTCTCTACTGGGGAGTTCGACTGTGGGTGATAGGCGGTGGCTATCGAAACACACACAACCATACCTATATAAGTACTCTAGGACAAAGTTATTTACTTCCTTTGCCGCCTTACTCCTGATAGGTCTACCGTCCACGAACCCAGTGAAATCGTCTCGTATGTTCACGACGTAGTTCATATTGCCTACCCCTTTCGGCATTTTCACTAGATCGATGTGTACCTTCTCTCCTGRTCKGGTYGGATAGGATGGATGAAGTGACTCTTTGTATTTCACAAGAGCTCTCTTCTGGCACTCTTCGCAGGTCCTACAATACCTCTCGACGTCCTTATATTGTCCTTCCTACCAGTACAACCTGCGTACCTTTTCGTAGGTTCCTTTGACTCCCCTGTGTTCTCCGACTACCCCGTCGTGAAGCTCCGCAACTATTGTCTGTCTCTCCTCAGGGTCACAGACTACTCGTAAGGGCATTCCCGACCCTACTGGCCTCCGGAAAAGGTGGCCCGCTCTAAGGCAGTACTGGGCTGCTTGCCTCCGGATATTTGTATCTTGACTTTCTTCTCCCGTCAGGTGTAGTCCGATCATTCGGTACTTGCCCTTGTAAAGATTAACTAGAAATTTCTCGGCGCGCCTCGGCTCTGCCATTGTCAGAGCCCCAGCTACTATCGGACGCTCGAGAGGGATGCGTGAAAGTCCATCTGCCACGGCATTTTTCGTACCAGATACTCTTTCAACCGTGTAATCGTATAGCCGAAYCYGTATTAACCATCGGGCGATGGTCGGGTCCGTCAGACTAAAGTCATTTTGGAGGACAGAGGCAACCGCGGTGGGGTCTACTCTCAAGATGAACCGTCGCCCATAGATATAGTGTCTGAACGTGT